GAACGACCCGAGTCGGGTAGCTCGGTTACCACATGCCCAAAAATATACTCAACAAAAAATGGCGCCGTTGATGGACATTTATTATGTATTGTAACCGAGCTGGACATGAACACCCCATCGCGAACGGTTGTAGTGTCAACTGTACAATTTGTCTTGACTGATTAGTTGCACTAGTACATTTATGTATTGAATATGATCCCAGAGAGGAGCAGTTCGTTTTATACTGATCGTCGTAAACGACCTAATAACCCGTAAGATATTAAATAGACATATATGTGTACTATTTATTACTTTGATTCACATAGGTGAGGCTTAGTGAACTGGGCCAATAGACCCGCTGTCTTGGGTAGTATTGCTACATGTAAGATGTGCTGTTATGATATTTACGGTCAGCATGTGCATTAGTTTGATGATGTCCCCGGAGTGAGTTCATGAAGGATTATTATGCTAAACCCTGCAGGTGGATTAAATTCCGGCATAGTAATAATGTGATGAACGAGCGCTAGTTTCGGTGAAATAAAAATAAATTAATTAATTCTTGATTGTCAGTAATCGAATTAATTAATGGACATTATATCTTAAACATGGGGAGATAAATCGAGTAATTATTAGAGTCTCAATTGTAAATTGGGCTAGAAAAAGGGAGTGCAATAATATTATGTTGGTGGCCCATTTAATATTATTTAATTAATTAAAATAAGTGGCTTAATCCACAAGTATTTTAATTAATTAAGGAGCCCTAATCATAATTTCCTAAGGATACCTACTGTAGCTCTATATACATCATTAATCTCATGAGAAGAGAAGAGAATTCCACATCTTGGAAATCACGCCCCACGCCTCTCTTCTCTCTCTCTCAGTCCCCATTCTAGCTTTATCTTCTTCTTGTTGTTCCACTGGTACAAGATTAAGAGGTGGTTGAGATATACAGTAGAAGATCTTTGGGTAAAGTGAGACGAAATATATTTGGTCGCACAGAACTAACCGGAGGTCCGATCAAGACGTGCAACATACCTAGACGACCGTCTCGATGAGAGCTTTCCAACGCCGCTGAGATCACAGCCGTACGACCACCCACATGCCCCCACGCACCGCCGCAAGGTCCCAGGACTGCAACTTGTCTTCATCTGTTTTGCACTCGTTTGATCCGGTTTTCGATCCGATCTTGCTCGTGAAATCCTAGGACGCGATTTGCAGTCAACAATTCATTGGTGTGCTGTGTACGGCCATCCAGAAGATCAGCTAGATCGCCATAAATTTTAAGCTGTAAGTTCTCTATGCAAACCTTTAGATCCGCTGCGCATAGGTTTACGTTTTGCTATTGAATTCGTGATTTGTGCATAACGAGATCTTACTGATCCCAACAGAGATCACCATCAAGGTCAACCGAGACCACAAGTTTTTCCCATTATTGATAAAGATCGCTAGATCGATAATAATAGAGTCAAAATTGTCCTCGAACGACCCGATTTTGATATACACCAAGGTCAGTTACTTTTCTGGGCTCTTAGAGGTCGGTGCCACCAGGTCGAGTCGGTTCTGTTAGCTCGACACCTCAAACCTATGTCCGAGCTACTTGGTCAAGCATTTTCTCTATACTCACACGAGTTCTTCTATTCTGCCCTTAGCCGAGCTACTATGTCAGACCGAATTATCGAGCTACTTCTGGGTGCTACATCATACTCACAACAGTATGGCATAGATTAGGAAGAGACCTTTGCATCTGCTGCTTATCTTACTATTGTCCGTTGTTTACTTACAGTTGTTGTTGTTCGTCGATGGTCTCTTGTACAGATAGATGTCAATAATGCCTTCTCACATGGTGCCGTACTGAACAAGTTTACATGACTCCCCCTTTAAGGTCCATATCATCTGGTAAGGTTTTCCATCTATGTCGAGCTTTGTATAGTTTAAAACAAACTCCTCGTGTCTGGTATGCCACGTTTAGTTCTGCATTGTTTCAGTTTGGCTTCATTACGAGTGATCACGATTCAGCCTTGTTTCTTCGAGGCCCCTCATCTGGTCATTATTATGTTGCTTTATGTTGACGATATAATCGTCACAGGAGATGATGTCTTCTGTATTTTCGACTTACATGATTATTTTCTTAAGCATTTTGAGATGAAAAACATGGGCCAACTTTGCTATTTTTGGGTCTTGAGATATCTAATTTCTCTAATGGGTTCTCTTTATTTCAATCCAAGTATGCATGTAATCTTCTTGCTCGGATCGGCCTCACTGATTGTCAAACAACTTCCACACCTCTTGATTATGATGTTCTTCTTATTCCACTTGATGACTCTATTCTTGAGGATCCTGCATTACATCGAAAGGTAGTTGGGAGTTTGATCTTTTAAACAATCATACAGTTTGATATAGCTCATGTTTTTCATATTCTGAGTTAGTTTATGGATGCTCCAATAACCACTTATCATTCTGTTGTGTTGCACATCCTTCGCTATGTGAGGAACACTCTATTGCATGGATTACACTTCTTGGCTCGTTCTTCCTTGACACTTAGCGGCTATTCTGATGCAGATTGGTACGGTGACCCTACTGATCATCGCTCCACTACTGGATACTGCTTCTTTGTTGTTGATTCACTCGTCTCCTAGCCCAGTAAGAAGTAAATCTTGGTTTCCAAATCGAGTGCCGAGTTTGAGAACTATGTTGTTGTTTATTCCACCTCATTGTGTCGGCTACTTGGTGATCTCAGTGCACCTCACTCATCGTCTACTGCTCTACATAGTGATACTCAAATTGCTATAAAGATGTCTCATAGTGATATATTTCATGAGTACACCAACATATGGAGATTGACTGTCACTTTATTCACTATCATGTTGAGCATGGGACTGTGCAGTTTATTCCAATTTTCTCTATGGATCAAATAACGGTTGTCTTCACGAAGTTTTCTTTCCCAGTCGCTTTTCATTGCTTCTTAACAAACTCGACTTGATCTCTACTATACCACCATGAGTTTGATGGGAGGTGTTAGTTATATAGTTAAAATATTACATTGTTGTATTGTTTATCGTAAGCTAGGTTAATGCTCAACCTAAAATTAAGACCCATCTTATATCTTTATATATGTGTACGTAGGTCATTGCGAATATACAAAATAATTATTCCACACATTCTTGCAAAGTGTATGTATCTGTAACTGAATGGTTAGGTCGGCCTAACACAGGACAAACCTTTCCTAGTCAAAATATGAAAATTTTTACATGACACAAAGTGTCATTCAACATATCATACCAGAAATCAGATGGCTCAACAATATGAAGATTTAGCTCCATCAGAAATATTCAATAAAATCATACATCCTTGCATAAGAAAAAGAAGTAATTACAAGTAAATAAATGGTTAAATCCCACGAGGGTATGTATAGCCTAAAAAGAAAAATTACAATGAGATTAAATGGAGTAAAACGTCCATTTGTGTTGCATTAGCATCCTCTCTTCATTTACTGTCGGTAGAAGGTAAGCTGTGATAAAACATGCATCATTCATGAAATTGAATCACATCATGTTAACGAGAAATGTAATTTTTGTAATTAATCTTGTGTTGTATATTATTTTATTAGTGTTATGAGAGAAATATTATATAAAATTTGAGTGTTTTTTTTTTTTCCATGGTTTTGCTGTTATTTCTAACAACACTACTAACACATGGATATAACGCGATAAGATTGTATATAATTTAAAGTTGATTTGATATGTGAAGATGATGGACTGATATTATTTTATTATATTGATTTATAATTTAAAGTTATTGATTTGATATGTGAAGATGATTGATTGATATTATTTTATTATATTGATTATATTCAGAAAGTTAAGTTGGATTTAAATATAAAAAAGGAACATAAAATTATTTCATAAAATAAATACCTAACTGTAAATTGAATAAAATTTATTAAGCATATAGAATTTTGTTAAATTTGGCCTTTGGGAAAAAAATGTTCTAGAAATACAAAATAATAAAAAAAAAAAGATGTGAAGAATTATTCCAATCAAGTATATATGACACTCAAATAATAAACAAACGGTTCATCTTTTAAATCATTATGTGAACTAGTAACTTTGTAAAAAGTTCAGAATATTCATATGAATTTAGTTGATAGTTTATCAAATATTGTAAAATTGACTGGATGTTCATATGTAAATTTTATATATTTTTTCTGTTCAAAAGAAATTTTAACTTTGAACTTAAAATAGATAATTATACATATAAAGCAAATGTTAAGCTCGTATAGTTTATGAAAAAAATACAAAATAAAATAAATATTGAATAATTTTTTTATATTAAATTTAATGATATAGTTCCTATGGTTTATCATCAGATATGCATGAGCGTTTAGACTGTTTGGTAACCAAACAAGCTAGATTATAATTTATTTGGTTAGCTAATAAGTTTCTTGTATTAAAAAAGTTTCGTTTGGTAGGACGAGTTTTTTTTTTTTAAAAAAAGCTCGAGCTTATCTCATAAGATTTTCTGATAGTTTTTCAAATAAGCTTGTTCAAATTTTCATTTCAGGTAACTTATCAACTAATTTAACCAAACACTTATATCATATAAGCTATCTTTTCATCTATAAGTCATAAGCTACTATAAGCTCGAAAATCACTTGTAAGCTAAAAACTAGTTTATAAGCTAGTTTTAACAAAAACATAGCCTAAGCGTGTGTTCGGTAAGCATTATAAGTTACCTTATAGCTTATTTGGTTAGCTTGTAAACTTTCTATATTCAAATAAGTTTAATTTGGTAGGACGAACTTTTGTAAAAAGCTCGAGCGTATCTCATAAGCTTCATTGGGTAATTTTTCAAGTCCGTTGAAATTTATTGCAGTTGGCTTATCAACTAATTTTATCAAATACTTCTATCATATGAGCTAACTTTTCACTCACAAGCCATAAGCTATCGTATCAACTATAAGCTCGAAATTCACTTGCAAGCTATCAACTAACTTATCAGCTATCATCTGTCAATTAGCTTATCAACTAGGATAACCATAATCACCCTATGGGTTGGAAATAATTAGTCACACTAATTTATACCAAGTCTCATGACATATAATCTAAGTCTAGTGAAACATACCCCAACTTGAGAGAGGTATCTGAGAGTCTCTTGTTGTTATGCAGTAATCCATGAGAATTGGCAATGGACTCGGCCGAGCTTCCCTGGTCGTTGCCAGTATTTAGCGTGCATTCAAAATCACAAGCCTGCAACAATTCGTTAACAAACTCAAATGTTTTGAGAACTTGTATACATTATTAATTCTTGATTGCACGTATGAACATACATAGAGTCGACTAGATAAGAGATTCAGCGAATATTAAAACTTCCATCACCTCACCTCAGCTTGTCGTTTCAACCTTGCATTTTCGTCCAGTAGTTCCGCTTCCTGCATATTTTTTTAAACGACGAAATGTTAAAAATTGCTGAATTAAAAAAAAAAAAGTATATAGAATAAAACATCGAACTTGCCCTTGTCTTCAACTTGTTGATCTCAATCAAAAGCTTGTCATTCTGTAACAGCACATAAAAAAATAAATAAATAAATAAATAAATAAAAAATTACGACGTTCAACTGCTACATTGAAAAACATCTTAATATTGCGATAAATATACCTTTGTTTTCCCAACACGACTTAATCCAATCTCGACCAATTTCTCCAGCCTCGCCAAATCATGAAAGCCAAGTCCCTGAAGCTCTTCTCCCATGAGTTGCCTGTGATTACAATGTGGATTCTTGTTCACATATATATTTTCTTTGAAAGCTCTAATAATACTAATAATGTGGTGTACTTTAGCTCAAGAGTAACGTCTGCAAGTCGCTTGCTGACAGTCGCATGATGATCTCTCTCTGTCTAAATTTTCAAAGAAAACGAGAAAGGCTTATCAAGTCATGAACGAAGCACTTACAAAGGTATATAAAAACACATCTATAATCTATAGCTATAGCTATATCTATATCTATATCTATATCTACATAAAGAGGTTGTTGGAACAATACATTAATTGAAATTTTGACCAAATAAATATAATGTTTGACTTACTATTAATGAAAAGTTCAAAAAAACACATGTGAAACTTTATTAACAAAATATGAAACCTATTTTTTTTATAACAAATTTGGAGATTCTTACGGACAAATTTGAATCCCATTTTTTTCTTATCATGTTTTATTTTTTTTCCAAAATTTAATTCATATCTTTTTTTGGTAACAAACTTGGAGATTTTTATGCAAAAAATGTGTCAAATATTAATGAAAATAATTCTAAATACAAATTAATTTAACAACCGTGCAAATTGGATACAAATTTAGGAAACAAATAGTTGTATAATTCTTAATCAATTCTTCCATTCTTATTGAATAATTTTCTATCAAAAAGTGTATAAATTGGATGAAAACCACATGCAATTTTTATTTTAAAATAAAATTGATATTTGGATGTGATGTAGTCGTTAGTAGCGCCTTGTGAGGAACCAGTTGTGTGATCCGGTTATCACTGTCATATGGAGGGACCGGCTAGGCATTATGGTAGTTGGGCAGCTAGGGGAGTTCGGCGGCTCTGCGTGCCCAGAACTCTTGAATGCTTGACATGGGCCGAGTGCTCGGCATAGGAAGAACAGCAAAGTGGTCAGCGTTGGGAGCTCGGCTCTATGTTAGCACCCATGGCAGGTCGGCTTGGAGGGGTGCTTGGCGGCCCTGGGTGCTCGGTATTCAAAAGTGCTCGGCACATAGGCGGCCCGGTCATAGGGCTGCGTCAAAGAGGCTAGTACCTGAAGGTGGCTTCGGGATCAAGTTACGAAGGAGTTGGTAGCGACAAGGACTCTAGAATATTCTTGACCTAATTAAATAGTTTGCACAAGAAAGACTTCTTGTCTCATGAAGATTCTCCAAGTTTCTCCTATAAAAGGAGCAGGTTCATTCATTTTTTACACAACACACATTCACGAGTTATCTCATTACTCTGCCGTTTTCTCTCTAGACCATCACTGACTTGAGCGTCGGAGTGTTCGCGCCAGGACCACCCCCGGCGTGCTTTGCAGGTACTGACGATCAAGGAGACGCAACCCGGTCTGAGAGGAGCGGTCCAGCGGTTCGAGTATTTGTTGTATAACAGGATGGGATGGACATTCAAAATTGTGTCCACATTTTTTGGTAACAACAGTGGTCCATCTTTGATATTTAAAGTCAGCTTATCCAATTAATTGTTTGTATCATCTTTTTAATTAATTGTTTGTATCATCTTTTTTTTTTTGTTAAGTTTATATAATTTTCTTTAGGAAAAAGACAATTGCGTAAACATTAACAAATTATTTCAATTTTTTTTATTAGAATTAGTTTCAATTCAACTTGTTGGGTAAAGAATCATTTTGATACTTTTGAGGCATTTTCGATTGGTTGTGCCCTTCAAACTTGGAAAGAAAAGCATTCACCATAGGGATGTTTAGGGGCTTAGAAATTTCCATTTCAACTTTCTTAAGGGGTGTATTCAATTAGAATTTTTAAGGACTTTTTAAGACTTTAGAAATCCTGTTGTATTCAGTTTAGATTTGTTAAGACTTTTAATAACTCTGGGGGATTCAATTGGGATTTCCAAATATCTGACTTAGAAATCCTGTTGTATTCAATTTAGATTTGTTAAGACTTTTAATAACTCTGGGGGATTCAATTGGGATTTCCAAAAGTCTTATAAAATCCTGAGGTATTTAATTTATTTGACACGATTTATTAAGACTTTTTATAATTTGGACAGATTTCTAAACAAAAAAACTTTATACGAAATCACACTTCAAATCCTACCTCCAAAGTTAAGATTTCATAGAATTCTTCCCAAATCTAAAAATCCTAAAAAGTCTTATATGTCACTTAAATTTTCTGATCAATTCATGTTCGTCGGAGAAATATTTCTCGTCTGCGGGGCTTCTACTCCAGTGCTCAATCTTGTTTTTCTGCTTTGGATGCGTCTCGATCAGCTAATTCTCAGCTGGATGCTAGTTTCAATCACTGAGTCCATGCTTGGTCATATCACGTGCTGCTCGACGTCCTCTGAGGTTTGGTTTAATCTCTCTCAACTTTTTCAAACAAAATCAAAAGCTCGTGTGTTTCATCTCAAATTCTAGTTGCAAACTCTGAAGAAGGGCTGTCTCTCAATCGATGATTATGTACTAAAAATGAGAACCCTAGCTGATGAGCTTCATTATGTTGGTCATGTGATTCCTGGTAATGAACTTGTTATGTACGTTCTTGGTGGTACGAATCTGTGGCGGTAAACTTGACATCTAAATTGGATAACATCTCGTTTCATAAAGTTCAAATCTCTTTACAAACTCATGAAATGCGACACCAAAGTCATATTACATCCACTTGTATTGTCTTTTCTGCCTCCACTAATGTCATAGGTCCCTCGGCCTTTTACATGCAATCTCCTGATCATTTTTCTCGTGGCTCCTCAGGTCATCAAAACAGAAGCCGTGGTGGTAGGTTTTATAAAAAAAAAAATGATGATGTTGTTTACCAACTGTGTGACAAAGCTAAACATGTTGCTCTTAAGTGTTTCAAAAGGTTTGATATCAATTTCACAAGCTCAGATTCCTCCACATCAGCTCCTCAAGCACATCTTGGTGAATCATCCATCTCTCCACAACCTACTACAGCTGACCATAACTCGTATTTTGATAGTGGGTCTACAAATCATCTCACAGCTAACCTTGAGAATTTGTCTCTATAGACTGTTTCGTATCATGGTATTGATAAAGTAACAATTGGTAATGGTTCCTCTATTCCTATTTCTCATGTTGGCTCATCAGTTCTTTCTTCTCATGTACCTATGCTTCTCAATAACGTTTTTCTTGTTCCTGCCATTAGCAGAAATATTCTGAGTATTTCTCAGCTCACTAAAGACGACAACATCCTCATTGAGTTTCATGCTACTTTTTGTCTTGTGAAGGGCAAGAACACCAATCAAGTTTTGTTGGAAGGCTTTCTTAAGGATGGACTTTATCAACCGGATTTGTCCAAGCGTCATTCCTTCCTCAAGCAGTCATCACACTTATCAACTTTTTCAGATTTGTTTTCAAGTGTTTCAGAATCTCGTAATAATTCCGCAACTTCACATTTCAGTACGAATGTACCTTGTTTTGATGATATTTTAAATTGGCACACGGAACTTGGCCATCCATCCCTTAATGTACTTAGACATGTTCTTAGCAGTATGAATGTCTCATTTTCTGCTTCTTTACCTTTTTGTGATGCTTGTAAACTTGGTAAACTTCATAAAAAAATATTTGCATCTCAGCCTACCAAATCTATGATGCCATTTGATTTCATCCATTCTGACATATGAGGACCCTCTCATGGTGTTTAGTTGATGGTTATAAGTACTATCTTCACTTCATTGATGATTTCACATGATATACATGGATTTTTCCTTTAAGGACCAAATCTAAGCCACTTTTCATCTTTCAAAACTTCAATAAATTAATTAAGAGACAATTTCATTCCACTATTAAATGTATGCAAACTGATTGGGGGGTGAGTATACGTCTTTTGTTCATATTCTTTCTAGGTTAGGCATAGTTTTCAGACACCCTTGTCCATATACTCATTAACAAAATGGCAAAGTTGAGAGAAAGAAATTGCACATTGTTGAAATGGGTCTTGCCTTATTAGTACATGCACAAGTTCCTCTTAAATATTGGCGGGATGCCTTCAACACTTCTGTGTACGCCATTAATAGACTTTTGTCTCCTATGAAAGCCTACATGTGTTCAACAATGTTTCTCCATTCTTTCATATCTATAAATCAACTCTTGATTATTCCTTCTTCAAACCTTTTGGTTGTTCTTGCTTTCCCTATCTTAGACCCCTATAAATCTAACATGTTCCAACTCAGAATTTCCAAGTGTGTATTGCTTGGTTATAGTCCAGATCACAAGGGTTATAAGTGCCTCAGTTGTTATGGAATAACATACATTGCCATCATTGTTGCCTTTAATGAACAAGAGTTTCATTTTTCTTCTCTTTTTTAGACATTCTTCTTCCTTTTCCCAGTTTAATCCTCTTCTTCATACTCCCTTATTCTCCATTTCTCCCTCTTCTATTGTTCATATTCATGTTGTCGATTCACATCCGTCAAGTTATCCCTCATCATCTCCTCAGCATTCTTCTTTTTTCACTGGCTCAATGTCATTCTTTTCTTCGCCTCATCTATTTAGTTCTTCTATATCCCTTTGTATCTTAATCTACCCATTTCTCATCATTCTACTAATCTTGTTCCTTCTAATTCTACTCTTCTTCATCCTATGGTCACTAGGTCCGACAATGGAATTTTCAAGCCTAAATCCTTCTCCGGTTAACTTATTTCCCCTCATTCGATATTGGAACTTGTTACTCCAACTGAGGTTTTATCTCTTACTCCTTAGAAAGCAGCTATGTGATAAATTTCAGGCATTGTTGAGGAATAATACATAGTGTTTCGTTCTTTACACTTCAGACATGAAAGTGATTTCTAATAAGTGGGTGTTTAGAACTAAGTACAATTTAGACGACTTAGTTGATAAGTTCAAAGTCAGGCTTTTTACTAAGGGTTTTCAGTAGACAACATGTGTTCATTTCTTGAGACATTCAGTCATGTGGTCAAGGCTTGTAAACTGACCAAATCACTATATGGTTTAAAACAAGCCCAGGACATGGTTCAATAAGACAAGGGGGTTCATGTTATCTCTCCACTTTAAGGAATTTTTGGTTGATCCCTCACTCTTTTTTCAAAGGCATAATGGTGATTTTTGTTGATTCTCATTTATGTGGATGATATACTAATAACTGGTGACAATCCAAGTGCTATTTATGGAGCCATTGCATCCTTAGGTAAGCAGTTTGCACTCAAAACAATGAGTTATTGGTTTCGAGGCATTGAAGACATCTTCTAGAAACTATATCTTGAATCAGTCCAAATATGCATTGGGTCTGTTGGCTAAGACTACCCTTTTGCATTGCAAACTGGTCTTTACACCTTTGACTCCAACTCACAAGTCGCACTTTCGTGATAGTGAGCTCTTTTCTTATCCTATATTCTATAAAAGTGTGTTTGGAGATCTTCAATATCTCATCATGACTCTTTCCTTTGTTGTAAATAAGATGAGTCGGTTTCTACATGCTCCAACAACTTCTCATTGGCTTGTTTGCAAACATTTGCTGAGATATATCAAAAGTACTTTGGATCTTCGTCTCTTGTTTCAGCCTGTTAAAAGGTTCACTTTGAGGCCTATACAAATCTGGATTGGAACAGTTGTCTTGATTACATGAGGTAACAAGTGGTTATTTCATTTTTTTGGCTCAAATCTTCTCAATTAGAGTTCTAAGAAGCAAAATGTGGTCTCTCAAAGTAGTCAGAATATAGGAGTCTTTACTACTGCTACCACTGAGCATCTGTGGATGTAATCTTTTTTCTATGAATTGGGTTTGTTTCATGAGTCACCCTCAGTTTTATGGTGTGAAAATGATAGTGTTGTTGCCCTTGCCTCTAATCTAATTCAACATGCTCGAACTAAGCACATTGAAATCGACATTCATTTTGTGCGAGAGAAGGTTGCAGCCAAGGACATAGGGGTCAGATATATTCCTTCTACCTTGGAGTTGGTTGACCTTCTCACTAAGCCTCTCCATGCACCTCGTTTTTCCAGCTTGTCCTTCAACCTGCCATTTTATGACAAATCATCCCATGCACCGTTTGAAGGTATTGCATTGAAGCATACAGAGTCACCTGACTAGGCAAGGTTAGTTGGAGTGACTAGTTAGCTAAACTTTTAATAAGTAGTTAGCTAAGAAAGAGAGAGAGAGAGAGAGGGAGAGAGAGAGAGAGAGTTGATTTCAACTATATATGGCTTGTATATGTAGATCACGTTTGGTTTATAATCACATCATCTTCGATATTCAATCCATGGCTTAGATTATGCTCAACACACAGAGGTCAGAGGATCATATTATCTATTTATTAAAAAGTATAAATATGGTCCACACTGAGATAGCAATGCTAAACTATCTTAATGGAAGTATTATGA